ATCTTGGCCTTGGTCTCCAGTGACACCTCCTTTCGATGATCTTTTCTAGTTCTTTCATTACGGCCCTTCCAAGTCTCAGTCTTCTTCTGATTTCTTGGCTGCAGTCTGCATTTGTATTGAGAAATGAACCAAAATATACAAAATCTTTCACTATTTCAATTTCTTCATTGCCAACAGTAAAGTTGTGTAGTTCTTCTATATTCATGATTTTTGTCCTCTTAACATTCAGCAGCAGTTATGCTTTGTCACTTTCTTCTTTCACTTTTGCTTTAAAAAAAGTCATTTCAAGTCATTGCTGCTTTCTGCCAGTAAGATGGTGCCATCTGTATATCTTAAATTATTGATGTTTCTTCCTCCAGTTTTCACCCCTCTTTCATCCGAGTCTAGTCTGGCTTTCTGTATGACATGTTCTGCATACAGACTGAACAGATAAGGGGATAAAATGCACCCTTGTCTGACCTGTTTGCCTAGAGGAAACCATTCTGTCTCTCCATATTCTGTCCTTACAGTAGCTTCTTTTCCACAATACAGGTTGCAATCAAGTGCTGAGGCACATTCATTTCTTTCAGTTTCTTTGTTGTAGTCTATAAAGCGCAGATTGATCTTCTGAAATTATCTGGTTTGCTAAAGTAGCTAGTGGATATCTGCAACATGATCTTGAGTGCCTCTTCCTTTTCAGAATTGAGCTTGAACATACAGCATTTCTTGTTTCATATAAGGTAAATTCAGGAAAGCTGCTTTCTATTAGGCTTTCTCTTGTTTAACTCTTATAGTTTCTAACGGGACAACACAATTCTCTTATAGTTTTTCCTCCTATAAGTACGCATAGCAATACTGCTGGATAGCTCAGTGGTTTAGGTCTCTGCCTGCGAAGCTAGAGCTTGGGAGTTTGATTCATTATTGTGCCTCCTTGACAGGGGCTGGACTAAGTGATCCCTAGGGTCCTTTCCAGCTCTGCAGTTCTAAGATAATTATGATGATGATGATTGTAAAGGAAGCCATTTAAGAAACGCAGCTCCTTCTTGCTTATAGACTCAGGCTGGGTGTGTACCTTATTTTTTTTTTTAAAAAGTACAGTCCTCTGTTTAAAGGGCTCTCCAGTCCAAGCCCAGTTTAAAAAGAAATGGCCATGGGGAGGGAAACCAGGAACTTTGAAGGCACCCATCTGGTGTTCCTTCCAATCTAGCTAACAAAATAGAGTCTTATATTTGATGAGATGTATTTTATTTCTCCTTAAAATACAGAATCACTTATAAATTGGATCTGTAAATATAAATTGCTGTATACCCGTTTCACTGAAACATATCTGTGCTGTTTGGTTGATGAAAATGACCCATCCTGTGGATTTCCATGTAAAGCTAGGCATAGCTGAATAGATTCAACACTGACCAACGATCTTTTCTGATGCAGTCTTGAAGATCATAAATTGCCTCTAGGCATTATTGGGAACAGCCAGCCTACAGGTAGTCATTACTCTTGTCACTGTGAGACATTCATGGACCGGCAACTATTACCATGAACTGAAAGCCAATGTCATATGTATTTTCTGTCTATAAACAACATCAGAACGCTGCATTAATTCTTGGCTTTGATTGAGTGGGCTAGTGGAATGTGGATAAATAGGAACAGATTATGCAGAAAAGTCAACATTGAGTTGTTTGTGAATGGAGAAAAAAATATGAATGCATCAAAAGTAAGGGGAAGGAAGAGACTTAATTTTCCGACAAATCTTATTTTCAAGACAACACCACTAAGAGAACCCTTACAGGGTAAGAGTGCGTGTAGAAAAATTTGGATCTTTGAAAGACAGGCTAAGGGCTACTTTTTGAAACACATATTCATATCTTGATTTAAGTACAAGCTAATTTTTTTCATGCACAATTAAGCCATCCTAGACCAACTAACTTGTAGCAGGAGTCATTCCAGCTTGCGGGGAGGGGGTGGACAGCAGAGTCTGTGCTGTAGATTCTGCTGAGAGATGGCTCCACTTGAAACCTCCATGCTCTGAACTATTTTCATCCGAGATGATGTTAATAAGGCTTTTGTTACTTTGAGAACTGGCGCCTGAGCATAGGTATTTTCTTCTTCCTTCCCCCTTCCTTTTCTTTCGTGTCGTGTCTTTTAGATTGCAAGCACACAGCTTTATTCATTTTTTTAACTAAGAGAAGCTGTCTGGGGTGCCTTGCAGTGGGACAGCAGGCCAAATGCTTTCAACAAATACCATGGATAGAACCCTTCCGACTACTATGAACACAGTACTGTCTGGTGTTTACACTAAAAGGATGAAAAACTAGGAAGTAGAGCATGTAAAGTATATAGGCCAGACTAGCATGAAGTGAAGATATGTTTTGTGGCCATTCATAATAATAAGAAGCTTAATCAGTCACTACAATTATGTGCATGAAGTAAATGGTAAAGGTTTGTAAGTCAGCATAGAACCCTTCCGACTACTATGAACACAGTACTGTCTGGTGTTTACACTAAAAGGATGAAAAACTAGGAAGTAGAGCATGTAAAGTATATAGGCCAGACTAGCATGAACTGAAGATATGTTTTTGTGGCCATTCATAACAATAAGAAGCTTAATCAGTCACTACAGTTATGTGCATGAAATAAATGGTAAAGGTTTATCTAGTAAGTCAGCATTTTCAAGTCAGGTGCCATCCAGATGTTTTGGGATACAACTATCACGTGAAGCAGCCCTTAGAAAATTAGTTTGTAAAGTAATTCCCCCCATTACTATTTATTTCTAAAGGAAATCAACCCTGAGTGGTCACTGGAAGGACACATCCTGAAGCTGAGGCTCCAGTACTTTGGCCATCTCATGAGAAGAAAAGATTCCTTGGAAAAAACCTTGATGTTAGGAAAGTGTGACGGCAAGAGGAGAAGGGGACGACCGAGGATGAGATGGCTGGACAGTGTCTGCGAAGCAACCAACATGAATTTGACACAACTACGGGAGGCAGTGGAAGATAGGAGGGCCTGTCGTGCTCTCGTCCATGGGGTCACGAAGAGTCGGACACGACTAAACGACTAAACGAACGAACTATTTACTGTCTTTCAAAACCAAGTCGTTTCATAATGTTGGAAAAAGTAGTCATGTGAAAAAGAAAGTACACCCTCTTTGAAGTCTAGGTTTTTACGTATCAGGGCATAATAAAAATCATCTGGTCCTTTGCAGGTCTAAAAATTAGATAAATACAACCTCAGATGAACAACAACACATGACATATTACACTGTGTCATGATTTCTTTTACAAAAATAAAGCCAAAATTGAGAAGCCATGTGTGAAAAACTAAGTGCACCCTTACTGCTTCCCTAGGAACTAAGAGGCTAAGTAGCAGCCAGGTGCTGCTAATCAAATGCCCTTGAGTAATTGATCATCAACAAATGTGGTCAACTTTATAAAAGCCAAAGTTTTAGCAGTTTGCTGGCCTGGAGCATTCAGGTGTGTGTTAACATAATGCCAAGGAGAAAATACATCAGCAACAATCATAGAGAAGCAATTGTCACTGCCCATCAATCTGGAAAAGATTATAATGCCATTTCCAAACAATTTAAAGTATTTCATTCATCTGTATACCAAAATATCCTAGAGTCAAATGTGAGGCCATCTGTCCAACAGCTAAAGCTTAACCAAAATGGAATCATGCAGGTGAGGCCATCTGTCCAACAGCTAAAGCTCAACCTAAATGGAATCATGCAACAGGACAATGATCCCAAGCATACCAGCAAATCTGCAACAGAACCGCTGAAAAAGGAAAGAATCAAGGTGTTGCAATGGCCCAGTCAAAGTCCAGACCTCAACCCAATTGAGATGCTGTTACAGAACCTTAAAAGAGCTTTGCATAAACAAACGGCCACAAGCCTCCATGAACTGAAGCAATGTTGTAAAGAAAAGAGGGCCAAAATTCCTCCGCAACAATGTGAGAGACTGATGAAGTCACACAGAAAATGATTCCTTCAAGATATTGCTGCTAAAGATGGTTCTACAAGCTGTTGAATCAAAAGATGTGCTTAGTTTTTCACACGTGGCTTCTCCATTTTGGCTTCAGTTATGGTGACTCTTGCCAGGTCTTCCTAGGTATAAAATATTCTGAAGTGATTTCCCAATCCTTTCTTCTGGGAGTGTCCTTGAACATGCAGCCTGCCAAGACTATGCATGCCATCTCTTCTGTAAGTACACCAACAAAATACAGTGGTATCGCAACTTGCGAACATCCTTACTTGCGAAGGATTTGGGTTACGAATGGCTCCATTTGCAAAAAGCTGCTTCGACCTGCGGACGGTGCCTCGACTTAAGAACCAAAAAAAAAGAAAAAAACTTTCCTGCCCTTTTTTTGACTTAAGTTCACCTTAAGTCAAAAGAAAAATTAAAAAAAAAATCACCCCCTAGTGGCAGAGTATGGATTAACTGGCTTTGCATTAATTCCTATGGGAACTAATGCCTCTACCTACGAACAGCGCCTCAACATACAAATGAAAAACAGCAGATATAGATTAAATGGTTTTCAATGCATTCCTATGGAAAAGTTTGCCTCGACTTACAAACTTTTTGACATACAAATGCTATCCCATACGGATTAAGTTTGTAAATCGAGGTACCACTGTATATCTGATCCTTGTTAATCCCCATCACTACCACCAAATAAACTCATTATTTGGTGGCATTATTTATAAATCATTATTTCCATATTCTGATCTGCACCCAGTGCAGTTATTGGCTATCCTTTCTGGGAATGATGGGAATTGTAGTCCAGCACATCTGGAGTGTATCCAGGTAGGAAAAGATACCGTATTTTATGCTATGCTTTGTGACTAGGAGAAGAATCCATTTTTTTTCATTGTAATCCCTGAGGCAAGTGGGATGGGTTCTCCAGCAAATAAGGCAAAGATACAAACATCAAGAACCTTTCATTAAATTTGTGTGCACTAGGGTTAGAAGGCCCACCCATACAAGTCTTTCTACAGTTTAAAAAATACACCAAAAACCATCAAGTACAATAAAAAAATGAAGTCTTTATTCTTTTGGCTCAACTGTAATGTGGCTTACCGTTCTTTATGGTAATAGCATTTTCCTGCATGCAGTTCACCAACACACAAAGTCAACAGTTTCAGTAAAAGAAGGAATTAACATTTAATTTTTGCTTGTGAATGGAATTAAAAAAAAAAGTCCTGATGTGATCAGATATACAAGTTCGCTACTTGGTTCTTGTGGGGGGGGAAATTATAATTGTGGAACTGCGTATAATATTTAGAAGACTTCTAGTGCAGCATGAATCAACAAGAATAAGAATAGTCTATGTAAACAAACACTGGAAAAGATCAAGAATTTTATGAATAAGACTAACTGCTGATGCAGGCAGTGCTAGGATTTCAGACAAGTCTTTCCCACCACATTTCAATTACAAGTTATAGCTATTTGGAAGCAAGTGCATTTTGGACTCAGTCTGAAAAAATCGCAGTAAGATGTGTGCAAAAATACAGTACTAATTTAAAAAGCAACCCAGGAACCTACCATTACCTCCATTCTCTCCGTTCGTCGTTTTATTCTACTCTGTGAAATCTTTCAAATAAAAAGTGTTATGGACAGAAAGTAACAACCATCTGTAACATCAGCCTGAAGATCAGTTTCTGTTTTGTCATTTATGTACAGGATGCTGACAAATAAAACTGAATGAGATTTTGTACACTATTTATATTTCTCCTTGGAGAACTCTAACCATGTATTTCAAACAGATTAAGCTGCTTTGCAATAGGATGTGTACAGCTGGCTACACCCTGTACTATGCTCACTCAAAATTCAAGAGAAGAATAAAAGAAGTAAGGGCAGAGCAAGAAGCTTTCCCCCTCCAAGCCCACAACCTCCCCACCCCCACCCCAACAGATGCAAACTATTGCTTGATGAAATGAGGAATGATGTCTGGTTGAACAAATTGTTTCACTTTTACCACTGACGTATGGCTTCCCATATTAGATTTCTGAACAAATCCAAGAAAAATACAGCAGCGAAGGCAAGATAAACAACATGCATCAGTGATAGCCTCCAAACTACTTATAATGGTACAGAATACATCATATTTTCCTGTTCAAGGCTTGCGAACGACACTTATTGTGGTACATATTTGACGCAATAAATATTGTGCACAAGGTCATTATTCCTTTGCTCAAACATGCACCACAGGGCTAAAGTAACTATTTACACAGACAGCATCTCATTGACCCATACGGTGTCAACTTTGCTGAGAGCAGAAGATGGCTAAACAATACTGCAGGAGAAATTAAAAACAAACATATATGTTGGATTTTTCTCCCCCCTCTTTTGGCCAGTCCAATGTGCCAGACCTTTTGTAAGTGAACACATTTTGTTTCCTGTAGGACACTTAAGAAGAAGACATACTCTTTCCCTACAAAACTTTACATTCAGGTTGCAGTCCTACACACACTTACCCGGGGTAAGTCCCACCAAACTCAACAGAGATTATTTCTGAGTAAACATGTATAGGATTGTGCTGTTGAGTGACACCGATGTCAACTTAATTTCATGACTGAATGGTACATGTGCGGGGACATCTCTGTAGAATAACTGTTGATTTTATGAGACTTACAGGCACATTAAATTTTTTCAGGATGAGACATAAAAGATGTATACTGTTATTGAGCACCTCTGAATCTGGAGCCATCCTGAAACATGGAAGTATTTAAAACTCTTGTGCAAAGAAGTCTTATCAGTTTCCATGCATGGTCTATAAGTGCAGCATGCCTTCATGCAAATCACTTCTGCCTGTACACATTACAAGAGAATCAGACAGAACAGCTGGTCCTCATATTCCCCCTTCCCCCTGTACCCACCCCACCCCTAGAACATAAAACCCACTTACAAAAATAGTCACATATAATAGTAAACAACCTGTGAATTAAAAAAATGACAACCTCACCAAGACTGATTTCTGTAAAAATATGGCAAAAATGTGGCAGTTGGAATGCAAACAGTGGATACAATTATTGTACTTGAGTGTTTTATGTTATAAACACACATAACATCTCACTTTGCACCTCTCCGTCCGGTCCCTACAGTCTGGGTAGCCATTTTTCTCTTCTCTTCAGCAGTGTCAGCTGGTAATAAAAACAGTAACCTCCTGTCAAATTCCCTTTCCTGTTTCACAGAGCAGCATCTGGATTGACGAGGGGTCACTGTCTTGTTAATAGGCACTGACCTTAAGTATATATCTAACATTTGTATATATATTTATAGATATTTGTGTGTTTGTGTGTATGTGTGTGTGTCTCTGTGTGCAAAAACAGTCAGTTTGGCATAAACCTCCCACAGGAGTCCTTTTGAAATAATACTTTACTTTCTCAAGCTGTAAACAATTTGTCACAAAGTAAATTGTCCGCTTTGTTCATTTTTTACTGTCCCTGATATCTTTACCTTTATCTTCTTTTTCTGATTTGTCCTTTTCATATTTATCTTTGTCAGGCTTTGTAACACTATCATAGGAAGGTGGGGAGGTGGTGGACGGCGTCATATCATTTTTTTCAGGAGTTGAATTCTCATTGAGCTTGTCAATGATCATATCTTCTTTGATAAGAGTGTCATCACCAGCTTTGATTCGATCTTTGTTAAAAATGCAGGACACTTTTTTAACTTTTTGCTTTAAGAGGTAGCGCCTGAAGGCCCGCTGAATAATGACAGCAGATACTTCCTCCTGCTTTCGCTTTAATGTGGTGGTAATTGGTTCATAAGAGGCTTTTGAAGGATTGGCAGCCATAAACCGATCTTCCATTTGGACACGAAGGGCGTCCATTTCTTCGCTGTCTCCCAAAACGCGCTTGGTGAAAGCAAACAAGATGTCAAGGCAGTGAATTCTGTCCCCGCTTACCATGGGCAGATCCATTGCAATAAGCTGAACCTTGTTTGGTTTGGCTATTAGAAGAGGTGGATCCAGGGAAGCAGCAAAATCGGAGAGTTTACTAAACTCTATAAACTGGGTTGCATCTGGATCAAACTTTTCCCAGACCTCATAGAACATCTCAAAGTCATCCTCACTCAAAGGTTCCGCGCTTTCTTCTGTAGCAACACTGAAGTTCTCCAGAATAACAGCAATATACATATTTACTACGACTAAGAAAGAAATGATGATGTAGCTGACAAAGAAGAAGATCCCAACGGAAGGGTTGCCGCAGTCTCCCTTGACCGAGCTCCCCGGGTGGTCTATCTCAGGGTCGCAGTCTGGGGGTCCACTGTTGAGAATGGGGGCGAGCAAGCCATCCCAGCCTGCGGAGGTGGTGATTTGAAAGAGGCAGAGCATGCTGTTGCCAAAAGTTTCAAAGTTGAACATGTCATCTATCCCAACTTCTCTCTTCACGTAGGCAAAATTGGACATTCCGAAGATAGCGTAGATGAACATGACCAGGAAAAGGAGGAGCCCAATGTTGAACAAGGCAGGAAGGGACATCATCAAGGCAAAAAGCAGGGTGCGGATCCCTTTAGCACCCTTGATCAGACGCAGGATCCGGCCTATCCTGGCAAGGCGGATCACTCGGAACAAGGTGGGTGACACAAAGTATTTCTCAATGATCTCTGCCAGGAACATACCTAAGAACGTTTAAAAATAGGTTAGTTCAGAACATGTGTAACATCTAATGTGTGCAAAATGTCAAAAGCTGCAAACATCTGGTTTAAAATTATAACTAAAAGTTAATTAAAACCTTGCATGAAATGTTAATTAAAAGTACTTCCATTAACTTCCCACAATTTAAATTTATCATATTTTCAAAATAATTTTTATTGAAATAGATTTTTTCCTTACCCACAATAGATAAAATGACAACCACAAAATCAAAAATATTCCAACCAATGGTGAAATAATAATAGCGAAGTGAAATCAGTTTCAAGACACATTCTCCCGTGAAAAGAACGATGAAAATCAGATTAATTCGATATAAGTTTGTTTCCATTGCATCAGTCTGATCATCCCAATGGTGAAATAATAATAGCGAAGTGAAATCAGTTTCAAGACACATTCTCCCGTGAAAAGAACGATGAAAATCAGATTAATTCGATATAAATTTGTTTCCATTGCATCAGTCTGATCATCTGTTTCCACCATCATGGTGACCATATTAAGGCAGATAAGAATCATGATGCTGATGTCAAAGGCCTGCTTTGTAACAAAATCGAAGACCATGCCTTGGAATTTGTTCTGTAGGAGAAAAACAAAAACATGTCAGTCCTGTATCTTGTAATTTACAGTGTAAGTCTTTGCAGATTTTACAGGGTACTAACAGATAAGTTGCACAAAACATACATTCACTGTGCATTATAGTAGTTAAGCTAGATGCATGAAGACAGTAGTGAGCAACATATGCAGCCCTCTAGATTTCTGGGAAACCCCTGGCCAGTCTCACTCCCAAACATTTTTGATTTTTAAAATTGTCCAAATGGTGTGGGGGCAATTTTGCCATGTTCAGCATCCCTAAAAACCTTTGATTAGTATTACATAACCATACAAGTTTTAACCAAAAAACTAAGTACAATGAGAATCGTCGTCTTGTGAAAAAATCATCTTTCGAGGTTCTCTATGCATCAGTCTCAAAAAAAAGTGTTGTGAAGCATCGGTCTAAAAAAAAAAATCTTGCAAAGCACGGTCATAGAAAAAAACATCTTGTGAGGCACCAAAGTGATTGGAAAAACCAATCGTCTTGCAGGTTTTTCATCCCACGAGGCAATCATTTAGCGAGGCACCACTGTATCTGTTAAATATTAGCACAGAAAAAATATTGTTCCTAATATTGCTGTTTTTTTGTAGCTCTGATTGTGTTATTTCTAATATCTGCAACTGCTTATAATACTGTGTGAAATTTCTTGATATTGTTCCCAAAGCCCCAATGACTTCAGTGGGGACCACTGAAGTGTGTTTTGTCCACAAGCGAGATGTTTCAATTGCCAGGTCTCTGTATTTTGTCAGTTATTTCAGTTCTTCCATTTTCATAATGACAAGTACACTAATTTTGCCACTCGATCATGTCCAATTTTGTAATCTGTTTGTGCAATCTTTGGACATTCGCAGATGGGGCATGACACAGTTTCCTCTTTTTCTTGGCAGCGTGGACATTTGCTGTTAGCATTAATTCCTTGGATCTTGGCTTTTGTCACATTGGTTTGGAGTGCTTGTTCTTCTGCAGCAGTTCCAGTCACACCCATGTTGAAATGTTTCCATTAATATTACTCAGCTGTTGTCACAGAATCATAGAATAATGAAGTCGGAAGGGGCCTATAAGTCCAACCTTCTGCTGAAGGCAGGAATACATATCAAGGGATGTCTATGTAGCAGTTTTCCCAGCTGTTTAGATGATAATGATAATGATTGCAACTAGAGGGTACAATGGTGTTTATCTTCTTTTGTTTACTTTACATTTTTTGAAATAAAAAAATGGGGTGTGGGGGGGTTGCAAGGGTGAAGCACCCTTTGTACTCCAGGAATGGGAGTGTGCAATTGCAGGACCTCTAAAGGCTTATGAACCCCTTGCTCATTCCATAGCAGAGTAGAAGCTCTTGCTGTGTCCATCACACAGCCAGGCTACGAGGGAGGAAAAGACATGGCTACTTTCCACTGTTATTATAGGACAGTGGCTCTCGTATGTGATCTTGTGGTCCTCATCTAAACGGCATAAGAAAAACACAACAATTCACCAAAGACAGTGTTTCTATTTGCTATCATAAGACAATGCCCATTATTTCCTGTGATTAGAAAGGAAAAAAATGCCCTTGAAAACCTACTTATAAAAGCTTTTTTTGAGGGGGGTAAAAGCTGCTTTTGATACATTTTCTTCTAAACCATCACTCAGTTGGAGCCTGTAACTTAAAAGAGCAGCAAATAAATAATGGTAGGAGGGAGGGGAAAAAGACTTACTGCTGGCCTTGGTATTGGTTTCTGTGGTTTCTTGGACCCGAGTTTTTTCATCGCATTGTAATATTTCTTCTGTTCTTCTGTCATAAATATGTCTTGACCTCCAAAGTAAACAAATGAAATCAAAACTGGTTACAACCAACTATTCTTTTTTAATTTTTTTCTAATCAAAATCATACAAACATAAAAACATTTAACACATAACAAAAAATACTAATTGTGCTTTATACTAATTGTCCTTTCTCCACCCATTTGGAATTTACATCCATTTCCCCCCTTCTATGGAGCCCAATCCCCATTCCAAAATTGCATTGACTCTTGTGAAAGTGTATGTGCCTTCCATTTTATTAATACAAAATCCACGAATTCTCCCCATATACTGCATCTATAAATATATTATTACTTACCAGCCTCTTAACTTTAATATTACATTAACTTACTGTTTAATTATACCCTGAATCTCTCTGAATCTATACCATTCATTTAATTGAAAATTGTATAATATTTTTCAGTTACTACCCTGTTTCTCTGAAAATAAGACCTAGTATGATTTTTCAGGATGCCCTACCCCAAAAATAAGCCGCAGTCAAGTGAAACCCACCCTCCACCATTGTGCAGCAACCAGATGACGACATGACCGTATTTGACTAAATGTAGATTGGTGAACATGGAAAAAAACCCGCCCCCTGAAAATAAGCTCTAATGCATTTTTGGAGCAAAAATTAATATAAGACCCCGTCTTATTTTCAGGGAAACACGGTAGCTACAGTTAATCTTGCTGCTGTGGGACTTTGGTCACACATGACCAAACCCCCCCCCCCAAAAAAAACAGAATAATATAATCTGTTAATAATGTTTTGCTAATCTTTTAACTCATCTTCAGTAATCTTTATTGGTAACATCATAAATAGTTTATCTACGGTAAGATCTTCATTTTACATACCGTTATTCTAGCAAACCATGAAAGTCCAATTTTTCTAAAATCATTTAACTTGTATTTTTATTTCTTACTTCAATTTATCATTTTTACATTTTAAAAAATCTCTTTAAATCTTTCTAAACTCATTAGAATATTTATTCCTAAAAACTGAACAGACTTTGAAATATTAATGTTAAAATTCTTTTCTAATTATTTCTTTTTCATTTTATTATATTTATACAACAGGATCCTCTCTGATTTATGCCAGTTTAGCTATAGCCCCGTTATCTCTCAACAGTCTTTCAAATACAGTTTTAACCCGTCAATGACTTTTAATGGATCTTCAGTTGTTAATAAAGTATCATCGACAGACTACACTAACTTTAATTCATCTTCTCTAATAACATTTGCTAGCAATTCTATAACTAGAGCAAAGAAGTAGAGATGGGGATATTCGTATTTGTAAACGAATATGAATATCCCCATCCCAGGTGCACCTAATGTGGGTCCGGAACTGGCCTGTCGTGCTGCTGCGCTGCTTGCCTCCCACTCGTCTCGCTAATTGCAGAAGTAGCTCTGCCGTCTTCTGGCTCGGCTGGCTACTCCAGGCAGGGGGTGGGAGGATAAATCTCCATGCACAGCAGCTGAGTGACCAGAAGAGCAGGGAGATAGCAGAATTACTTCCATGATTGGCGAGAAGAGCAGGAGGCCATTGGTGTGTGAGTGGATGGGCAGTCCCGAGGGCTGGGCCCACATTAGCTGCACCTGGGATGGGGATATTCGTACTTTTTTATGAATACGAATATCCCCATCTCTACAAACTATACTTAGGAGGGGGACTAGTACTACTGTTTAGGAGTATCCATTTGGTTATTCCATCATTTATTTATTTCTTTTATTTGCATCAAAATGTTGCACAATTTCAGATTACGAGTGCATATGAAATATAGGTAAAATTTAAAACAAATTAAAATGTTAAGATAATTAGACTATTTTTGACAAGAAGTGGGCTATTTCAGCGGCGTTATCTCAGTCAGTTGCTAGATCTTCCTTTATACATAGGGTGGGGCATAAACTGCATGCACGTAAATGCTGCATGGATTTAATTTCTTGACAGTCACACCGTTTCTGGTCAAAAAAATAAATAATGCTACATTAAACACGGTGAAAATAGACATATATATTTCTTCCCCCTGAATCTTCAAAGATTCCAATACCCTCCGAAATCCTTGGGAGAGGGGCAGCCACCCACTTTCTCCAAGCCAGCAGCTGCCCACAGTCAGTCTTCCACCTTTATTTCCTATTCCCCTTCTTCACCTATCATCCAACCCTACCTATTTGTTTGTTTGTTTGTTCATTTATTTATTTAACTTACATGCTGCCTACACTACCCAAAGGTCTCTGGGCGGTTTACAACAATGTTAATGTCTATCTTCTATGTATTCAAATAATACAGTGGTGCATCACTTCACAACAATAATCCGTTCCAGCAAAATCACTGTAGAACCAAATCGTCATCAAGCGAAAGAAAAAACCCATTGAAATGCATTGAAAACCGGTTCAATGCGTTCCAATGGGCGAAATACCTCATTGTGCAGCGAAGATCCTCCATAGGGCGGCCATTTTCTGGTGCCTGTTAAGCGAGGAATCCATCCTAAACACAGCAGGGAGCCATTTTGCACAGCGGGGTGCCATTTTGAGAGCCGCTGATCAGCTGTTTTAAAATCGTCATTTAGCAAAGAATCAGTTCCCGAAGCAGGGAACTGATCGTCGTAAAGCGAACTTTCCCCATTTAAACATCATTTTGAGATCACAATAGTGATCGCAAAAACCTCATCATAAAGCGGATTTGTTGTGGAGCGGTGTAATTGTCAAGTGGGCCACCACTGTAACTCCGTCTTAACTTTTTCTTAGTAGTAGACTGGGTCTTGCTTCTGCTCCAGTTTGGCCCTCTCTTGTTCCCATTACTGATCAACTATCAAACTCCACTCATGGAGCAAATTTAAACCTTGATACAAAAATATTATCCTATACAGTGGACCCTCTACTTAAGGAATTAATCCGTATTGGAATGGTGGCTACAAGTCAAAAAGTCTGTAAGTCGAATCTCCATTGACCTACAATGCACTGAAAACCGATTAATCCCATAACCAGTGGTTTTTATTCTATTTTTATTCCATTTTGGTTTTTTTCTGGTCTGTAAGTCGATTCTCTGGCTGCAAATCGAATCTACATTTTGCAGCCAGAGACGTCTGTAACTCGAACAGTCTGTAAGTCGAGCCATCTGTAAGTCGAGGGTCCACTGTAGTATATAAAACTCTCAAGTATACTGAGTACCCCCAACTGTATCAAATTTCATTCTTTTAGAGGACAATGATGAACAATTTCATATTGCATCACCAGGACGCTATATGATAAGAATGATCCCGATATACTGATATACCTGGATCAGTGTATCTTTAGATAGCAACTGTCCAGACTTTTCTCTAACCACTTCCATAAATAATTATTTCTTCTAGAAATTTGCAAACCTAGCAAAAAATATTAGGAGTCATCTGACACACACCAGTCAAATCCCACTTGATGCAGTCTCTCCAAATCTTCTTGAACCCAACCTAGACTTGGTCCCACTGTCTTGATCCATTGAAATACCAATTCTCTAAGGTTTATTCTATCGTCATTACCACCTTCTGGAAATCCACACAAATTCTCATTTTAATTCCATCCTCTATATTTCAAATTAATCATTTTTTAAAATCAATTTCAGTAAACTTGACTTCATGCCAATATAACTTTCCAGCACTGGCTTTAACCATTTTATCAATTTCTTTCAGTTGTGTGGCCAGTGTTTTCACTTGATATCATTTTGTGTAATTCTGCTTTAACTTCTGTCATTGTCTGCATATTTTTTCCATTTGTGCTTTAACTGATGACTCCAGTTCTGTTTTAACTGCCTTTTCTATTTCTTTTTGTTTTATCCAATTCACTTTTAAATTCTTTAAACTCCAGAGAATTTTCCTCCATTATTTTCTTAAATTCTGCTAGTAATCTATCTTCTTTTCCCATTTTGCTTTTCTTACTGTGATTCTCCTCTTTAGTCTTAGCCATTTCTTTCAAGCAGATTCTTCTTCCTTCCTGTGATTCAACAAGCTCCTCTTTATTATTAGATCATGGAAAAATAAAATAAAAATGAAGACAAAAATGTGGCATGTTAAAGACTAACTGCTGCAATTTAATGTGAGCTTTCATGGACGAGTCCACTTCTTCCTCCTTCCTGTGACTCAGCAGGTTTTGGAGACATTGCCTCCTCCTTGTACTTATCTTGGCTAATTATCTTTCCAAACTTTCTTCAGAGTCAACTGTTTCCCCGTCACAAGGTTCCAGCCTCCGTAATCTTGTTAAACCACAGTATGAGGGGTAAGATCTGTCATGTTTCCACCTCGACCCGACTCTCTATTTGTGTGGCATCTTAGCATTGCAATTGAAGAACTTTCACACCAAAGAGAGAACGTAGGGTAACTCTTAACCCCTAACTTAATAGCTATCATTAAAAAATGTATTTTCCTCTAACAAAATATGTTAGATATTTATTATCAGACAAATAAATAAAATAAGCCGCCTAGAGTGGTTTTTTTGACCAGATGGGCAGGGTATAAATCAAATCAAATCAAATCAAATCAAATCAGTCAATCAATCAATCAATCAATCAATCAATCAATCAATCAATCAATCAATCAATCAATCAATCAATCAATCAATCAATGTGTGGTATTCAAAGGTCCATAAACTATAAACAGGATACGTATATATTATAAATCTTCTTTCAGAGACTCGGAGCTTCTCAGTTCAGCTGCAAGCCAGTCCAGACTAGAAATGCCACTCATGACTTTTTAAAAATGAATTATTTTCATATTTATTTGTGTTTTAATGGGCAATCTCTTACACTGGGTTTCTTGCTTCAGCAACAGTATAGACTGAGAGTGAGAGGCTGACTAAACAGAAGACAAAGGGCATGGCTCTTCCTTTCAAAAAGGTAAGTCATCTGCAGCATGGAAGATGTTTATTTTCTTATGTGTGTGGGAAATCGGATGTGCCCATACTGTGGCACAGCCCACAACAATTATTTCCACTCTTTTAACCAGAGAAAATCAAGACATTTCCTTTGTATCTATGAATGCTTTCTCCACTGTTGGACCAGCCTTTGCACACAGTACTGATTTTTGTAGCCAGTTTTGTAAGACTTTTGGGTGTGATGTTCTCAGTGACCATCCCTTCATTCACCTCCTCACCCCTGCCCGTTCCCTCACCTTTCCTTCTTCACCAAATCTATAGTGTCATCCAGAGGGAAATGACAAAGTATGCAAGAAATATGGACTTCTTGCTCCTCTCAATGGGCACAGACTTGGAGAGGGGAGATTAAACTGGCAAGACCAGCAATGAGAACCCAGAATTCTCCTAGGGAGCTATGGCAGGCGTCTACTGATGCTGGTCCCAGGCACTAATCTTGTCTGCAAACAAGAAGCTTCGTGTGTGCCAAGAAGCAGTGGATCTCCGGAACAAGGTGATTGCTTCATTTCATCTCAGCATCCGTTTAGGATTTTCAAATTTTTATTTTTGTGTGTCTCTCTGTCTGTTATAGGAGAATGGAAGAGCCATGCCTGGAATTGCTGAAAAACACATTGTCATGTCCAGAAAAAAATAGCTTAGTAAATAAAGACACAGAAACAGCCTTCTCCGGAACAAAATACTGAGAACACACATACAGCACTACAGCTGCCGTATCACTGTCTTAAGCCCTCCTGTATGTGCGTTCGGAACATAGTCATACAGAATACTTATCTTCTTTTTCTGTTGATTAAAATTGTCTATGATGACACCAATAAATAAGTTCAAAGTGAAGAAGGAGCCAAAGATTATAAAGATGACAAAATAAAGGTACATGTACAGGTTGTCCTCATACAGAGGTTGTTGTTCCACCTATAAAACAAACAGAATGTTTAAGAAAAACAAACAAACAGATTGCTTGAGGGAAGGGCAGAACATGAACAGCAATATAAAATAGGGTGATTTTCTTTGTATGAATTGTGCACATTGTAGGTGATGTTATATTAAGCATTTGCTTTATAAAGTTACTTGGAATTGGCATAAATCTCTGCACCCATATTTTATTTTGACCTAATACCTGTGGCATGACAAACACTCCAAGCATTTGGCCTGCCCCAAAAGAGATACCACAGATAACCCAACATTACTTCTTCAGTGGGGGGAGTGGCATGGCAGTATACAGCAGGAACACCCTATGCTCTTTTGTCTCTGCTCCAAGGTATACGTATATATATTTATTATTATGTTGACCCGTTCAGCGCTATGTCACATAAGGACTGGGATAAGGAGTTGCGCCCCCTCCCTTCTCACACGTGCCTCTCTTCCTGCCTCTTCTCCTTGCCCACCTGCCCCCAAGCCCATTTCCCCATCTCTACTCTTGTGCAGAGAGTGCCTGGCAGGTGCCCAGTCTCGGCAGCCATTCTACTAGTGCTGATATTAGCACTGGTGAAACATTTCCCTCGCTCTGCTATTTATTGTTGCTGCTTGGGAAAATGAAGTGACACCCTCCCTCTTGCTGTCGCTGACACCACTGTGGGTGTTAGAAAGAAGGTGCCGTGGACCGTTGTGCACACTGTAAGCCCCGATTCCCACTGTGTTCTTGAAACACACTGAGGTATTCGGGAGCACCAGCTCCCTGACAGGAGGAAGTGGAGAAGGAGAGGTAGAAGGTATAGAAGACACAGCAGCAGCAGTAGAAGCCAGTCCTACTTCTTCAGGGAGGAGACACTCACTCACCTTAAGCAGAGAGGATTGAAAAGCCCAAAGAAGAAGCAGAGGCAGCAGCAGCAGCATTTATACTTTTGGCCCTGATTCTGCTATTCTGTTTTGTTTTAACCTTCTTTTGGGTGGAAGTGGCACAGCGTTCAGTTGAAGCCATAGGCTTCCACGCCATGTGTGTCTATGGACCACAAAGCCAACATACCACCTGGCAGCTGGCAGACGGGGAGGAAAAGAAGTGGTGGTGGTGGGGAAGGTGGTGTTTACAACAAGAGGGTCAGCAAACCGTGATCTTGGTGAGAACTGTAGTAAACTGATGATGTTGCTTCATGTCCGAGGGTAAATTGCTGCTTGCGTGTGTGAATGGAAACATTGATTAAATGCCTAGGAGAAGACTGCACCCGGAGAAGTGACCCTTTTAAATCAGATACAACCCAGTTTCAGCTTCCTTGTCTAGTTGCACCCTCAGCTTCATGCCTGAATGGGGGAGTGGGGGTTGAGCCAAAATCTCCTAAGACTAGTTCAGCATGGTAGCGGAGGTGAGGGCAACCGTAGGGGGCTCAGGGACTCAAATTTGACCAGTCAGTCAAAATTATTGATTTTAATGTCCTTACAGTGCATTTCCTTGATTCAAATGATGTTATGGCTACATCTGTATTCACTGGTTTTTGCCTTTAAATTATGTTTTACAGTTGCAAGCCACTTGAGTAGTGGACATGTGGGGTGAAAATGTAACTCACCGACATCATCAGAGCTGTCATTTCATGGTTCTTATTATAAAAGGAAGCAGAAGGTATCCATCTAGTTCCTTACAGGGTCTCCTTTTAAATGAAGGGAGGGTAAGGTGTCATCAGGCACCCTTCTCCTGGCCCCTGATGTTAAAATGCCAGCTCCTATAGACCTCCAGGAGTACAAACGGGTTTTTTAAAGGTTAAAAAAGAGAAAGTGACAGAGAAGAAGGAGAGAGAGAGAGAGAGGAGTAGGAGGAGAGGCACTTTGGAAGGAGGCTCTGGGGTAGCCTAGGGGGTTGCAAAAATATTCTGTGAGGCTGTATCTAACCCACAGGCTACAAGTTGCCCCTCCCCCATATTCTAGATCTTGCACAACAGAGACAATCACAACTGACATGATGTTAGTTATGTGGTTTGCCCTTGAGTGCAGGATCTTTTGGCCACAAATAATGCAGGGCTCTGATCCAGACCACCATGGTGGAAATGCGTACAGTAGGTGAACTTGCATTCTGTGCCCGCTGTTACATTGTCACTCCAGATCACCAGGGCTGCATCTACCCTTTGTACAGCAAAAAAGTTCTCAGAAGGTCCCCAGGACTGGTTATTTGTCCCCGTGGTCAGGGGCAAAGCACATGATTAATGTCACAAATCAGTTTGGCTCTAAGCAAATGAGGAAGAATAAACCAGACGGGAAAAATGACCCAGCAGCTGTGTAAAACTGGAGTGTGAAAATCTGCATGTGCCACAGTGGTTTACTTACATTTCGTGAATCTACAGCTGCATACATAATATCCATCCAGCCTTTGAAGGTGGCCTACAGAAAAAAAGGGGAAAAAAAGGTTTAACGCCTGTTCCGCAAATACAAGATAGCAAGGGCCACAAATTTCAAAGCAATGATAGAGGGGCGGAGCCCTGAAATCCCCCTTATTGTGCCCTGCCTCCTCCAGGCGCTGCCTCTGTACTTGCCAGAGGAGGCGAGCGGGGAAGCCATTGAACGAACCAGTACAAACCAAACGGAGCTTTAGCCTAACCTCTGAAATGCAATTCACAGAAGGTACCGTGCCAGGCATTATTCTGACAGTAAAGGAGGGGGCTGCTCTGTTAACTAGCCATATGTTAACATATGTAATCAATAACATAATGGATACAATATCCATTAATACATACTAACTAATGAATGGGTCAGTGAGCATGCTTCATAGGTGCTAATCTGTGGTAGCTAATCATAGACTGATTTAGTAAAGGAAGCCACAGCCTTTAGTCTGTGTGCAATGGACCAATGGCCTTTAGGATCAAATGCCTGGATTTTTTGATTTTCAGAACAATGACATCATCTATCTTCCCCTTAATTTTCTCAGAAGGTAGCTGTAACCCTTAGACTAGATCAGGGTAATTCTTTGGGACAACAGTATATTGTGACCTATCCTTGGATATAACGTAAAATATTTTTCAACAGCTTGTTTGTAAATGGGCAGTTAAGTACCACGAGCTTCGCAAAGAGTCTGCTTCCCATGGAGATGGAAACTGAAAGATCTTGTTTCTGCACATAGATCAACATCACTGCATGTATTGTGGGGTGGCTATGGGGACAGTTGTGTTGAATGCCTGCACTTCAACACTTGCCACTAGACCACAGCTTCACTATATGTACTTAGTAAAACATGGCATTTCTTTAGGAAAGTAGAAGGTAAATTTAAGAATTTAGCTTTAAGAAATACAGAAAAAGGGTTACTCACTACTTGAAGCAAAGAGAGGTAACCAAGCCCCACATTATCAAAGTTGACTTTAACATTTTTCCAGCGAGCCGTTTCATTTCTAGCTATGAGTTCTTCACACTGAGTCTGATTGTCGACTTCATCAATACTAAACATTTCATCAGTTGTAGTGTTGACACAGTGGTAGAATTTTCCAGCAAAGAGATTCACCCCCATAATGCTGAAGATTAGCCAGAATATAAGACATACAAGCAGCACATTCATAATAGATGGAATTGCTCCCAGGAGGGCATTCACCACCACCTACAGAAGAAATGGAGACCCAGAAGGGATGTGTCAATATATACCTGCAAAGTGTATGCATCATACTTGCTGGACAGGTATTTCTGAAATAAATAAAAGCTTCTAAAACTTGACTGGTGTACAGAGCCCCTTTGAATGGTATTCCAGGGGCTGTAAGATAAATGAGACCTTCTTCTTCAAGGTTGGAGACAGGGCAACAGCCATGGAGCAGGCAATGAAACACATGGTTTAATACGTTAGCACAGCAAACAGCAGCTAAGTTAGCATAGCACTGCTGCTTTTTTGGGAAAGTGTCACAAACACTTTTATTCTTCTACAAAAATATGAAATTTAGCATTTAAGAAGGCAATATTACAAATAGTGTGCAATATTAGATAATAGAAATTCTTGTTCTCGCTGAGTAAGGTAGAGAGAAGCAGGGAACCACAGCTGCCTTCTTACTGCTCAATAATTAAGAGACATCTCCTTTGTCCTTTCCCAGGTTCCTGCAGAAACAAGAGTTTGTACTAGTTTTAGTGGGAGTGTCAAGTAATTCTCCTAGGTTGTGAGGAGCTCTCAGACATTTGAAACCACAATCTCCCTCCACAAGCCTTTTGCAGACTGCATCTGTATCCCTCTAAGAAGTCAACCTGGCCCCAACAATGGCCATGAGACTTTGGGATGTTAATAAAAGCATATAATTTTTGGAACTATGCACAAAAACATGGTGCAGAGCCTGAAGAAGATGAGCTATAACCAAAAGCTAGTTGTCTGTTGTTTCTTTGGCTTTTTAAAAAGTGATCTAATAAATGTATTACTAGCAACATTTGTATTTTTTTTTTACACACAACCTTTTCTGATTTTTTTTCTCAGCTTTAGTTGGGGATTATACAGCCAAAGCTTTGAGCATTTTTTTAAATAAAGTAAAGCACTTTGTGCTGCTTTTTAGTTCTTTCAAGGAAGCATTCATCATTACTTCTTATGTTACAAGTACTGCATTAATAAAACATTACTAACATTTTACTTTTCTGATTATTATTATTTTTAAAGGTCAGGACAGTTTGGAGATCTCTCATTCATAGGGTTAACCATACGTTGGAGGTGACTTGATGGCACAACAACAACAATTGTCCTAGTATTGCCAGGCCTAGCTAACAAAGATTTAAAATTAATAATATAGGGAATCTCTTCTAAGTATACACAAAGTTTCTATCCTCGTCAACATGGGTATTTCTAGAAAAGTTGCATTTCCCAACTTTGGTGCCTTACAACTGATCAACTGTTAGTAGTAATATTAAGAGGTTGGAGGGGTTTTGGTAGAAAAGGGGTGGCCATAGGCCTTAGGCCGCTTGGGGCTGAAACTCCACAGCGGTGATTTTGGGGGCCTCCTGAGCGTCCTTGCCACTCTTTGCAGAGACCGGTGCTGCTTGGAGAAGATGGAGGACAAGGAAAACCAGCTCAACGCTTAGGTCCTCCTAAGTGCTTAAACACAGGAGCGCCTCCTTAAAAATGTCAGAAGCTTTGGAACAGGATGAAGAAAGCACACCGGAAGATAAAGGGCCTGAAACGGGGCAGGGGAGACATCTTTTAAAATGGCCTTCATTCATAGAGGCTCTGAAGAATGTACCAAATCTGAATTGGATATTTTTCAAATATCACCTACACAAAAACTGCATGCACACTGAGGTACCACTGTTGGCCACCCTAACACTCAAGGCCCTGCTCGAATTTTATATAACTGGCAACAGTGAAGATTATATCATTTAAACAATACATTGCTCTATGTGTTGTGCAAGATCACAAAAGCATCACTGCTGATGCTAAAGTAGCCTTGGTAAACTACCCCATTGCCTCGCTGTTTAGTCAACTAGACATCAACCTTGGAGATCGACATCAGCCAGAGTAATAATTGTTACCCCTATAGAGCCATGATAGAGCTGCTTTTGAACTACGGCTCCGACAGCTTGAGCACCCAATTTGTGGCGGGTGGCTTTTATAAAGATGGTCATGGAGCAAACCGCCACAGGAGCTGGTGCCGGAAACTGGGGCTCTGGAACCAGAGCACAACAACACACCGGAGCCAGTTGGAAATGGGATCTGATGGGCTCATTGCACAACAAACTGTTTTTAGGAGAAAATGTTAGTGAACAGTGAAAGATGTTGATGGAGCAAGCTGCCACAGGAGCCCGTGCCGGAAACTGGGGCTCTGGAACCAGAGCACAACAACACACCGGAGCCAGTTGGAAATGGGATCTGATGGGCTCATTGCACAACAAACTGTTTTTAGGAGAAAATGTTAGTGAACAGTGTAGATGTGAAAATCAAACTCACCCGTAGCAGGGATATACAGTGGAACCTCTACTTACGAACGTCCCTACCTACAAACAATCCAACTTATGAACAGCTCCGTTTGCAAAATTTTGCTTCTACTTGCGAATGGAGCTTCAACATACAAACAAAGAAAAAAAAACAACACAGGGGAGGTGGGGAAAGTGCAAAATCTGAACTTTCAGTTGACCGTTGGCCAGCGAAGAGGGTGCTTGTCTGCAACATTGCTCGTCCAAGCGGTTAGAGGGTGGATAGGGAGAGAGTCTTCAGACTGCCTGGTACTCTACTGTACGGACTGTATTTTTTT